ATTGATATAGTAGCTTTTGCTTAAAGGTCACACATATTTAAACAGCACTTAATACTATTCTTCTCAAAGACATTCAGACTGCAGCAGCTGTGTTGCTTTTACTTATATTATGTTGTATTAAATGTTTGCTAGATGTTTCCCGTTGGTCAGCTGCTCCTGTGGCTACTTTTTCATGTAAACATACGGGTAGCTAAATTGATGAACGTTGGGGAAACGACCTTTATGCTCAGCCTGATTTCGGCTGATAGGATAAATGAAGCTGGATAAATATATCCTGAATACGTTGAAGTACGTTCACCCTATTTGGTGCAAGCCCCAGGCCAGCAGCAGGGTTTAGTTCACATTTACCTCACTGTTTGCCATCATAGGGTGAGAAACATTTGGTTCCCCAAACCATACTTATTTAGCACGTGATTTAGTCCTGCATGGTTCACCAGCAACATGCTGAATGTTAAAGTTAATGTAGCTGTCTATGTGAAGGGTGGGAGCAGGCCCTGTGGTAATGGCCAATAAACTCCACAAACTTAATGTGAGAAAAACAGCTAGAAAAATAAAAGCTACGAGGAATCAGCAGGTTGTTGCTTGGAAGTAAAACTATGTGCAAGCATCCTCAGCTGAGTGTGAAGTTCCTCTAAACCTCTGAGACGGCGATGATGTGCCGCTCAGGAGCAAAACACCCTGACGGCAAAAGCTCATGTTCTGCTGCAGCTTAAAGAGATAAAGTGGAAATAACCCATCGCTGGGCCGAGGAAGGGAGACAAAGATGTAGAAGGAGGGGGAGAAAAAAAGGTAATGGAAAACATGTAGGACTTTTGAGTGAAAGAAAGATTAAGAGTTGAACTTGTGGGTGAATAAAGGAGGTGGAGATGCAGAGATAAGGGGATCAGAGGGAGGCAGCCCGGCAGCGATTGGGTCTGTATATGTTTCGCTCTCTGACTCTACATGTCAAATGGGTCGGACCTGCTTTTCTCTCCAGGGGCCTGGAGTTTGCCTTTCTTTCCGCCCCTTAATTTCCAGCAGAGCGTAGTGTGTGTGTGTGTGTGTGTGTGTGTGTGGTGGGTGTTTTTAAACTTTGCAATAGGGGATGATTCAGTGGGTCTGCTGCAGTTTACCCTCGGCAGGATTAGAGCTGGAAGCCATCTTATTATCTTCCACCGTTTGAGCTCTGTCGTCTGTTAGAAAGAGCAGTGGAGCTTAAGACAAATTACCCCCTCAGTGTCTTTCGGATGGCATGACTTCGGCCTGGAAATGGCCTTGGGAGAGGCTGGCAGTGGGGCAAATGGGAAGGAGGAGGCGGCCTGTGAATGGGAGAGGCTGGAGGGATTGTTAGTTTAATTTATGCTGCAGAACAAGGCAAAGTGTAGAGGAGGGCACTGAGGAGGAAAGAGACTGGAAGACATGAGTTTTATGTGCTGACAGATGTTTTTGACTGCATATTTATAGTGAGAAGTGATGGAGCATCCTTCTTGTCTTTGAAAATACACGCCAGAATTTACAAAGCCCCTAACCTCTGAAAGATGTTATTGTTTTCTTAAATTCTTGAAGCCAGAAGTGATTGGATTTTGATAAGTTGTGTGGTAATAGAGTAGCTAGCTTTACTAGACAGTAAATTTGTTACTTTATTTCTATATGTTTGCCACTTTTTCTCAAATAAAAAAAAACAAAAGAGAAAATTTTGAATTTTGTTCCCGTCAATTTACCCCTCCTCGGGGAGTCCCTTAATAATCTGTTATTATTTTTGCCACAAATGGCTGTTTCTGTCATTAAATCTGAATCTTGAGTAGCTTTGGCGTATTAGAGTTGTAACCTCGATTTGGTGTCGTTTACATTTTTTCATCCACTTTCAATGCTTGCTAATTATTTCTGTATGCGGCAGCTATTTAGCCACTACCTCAAAGTCTGCACTGGATTGTCGCGATAGTTTAAAACACTTATTTTGAAGCAGAGATATGATGCAAGATAGGGAAAGAACAAAAAATTTGGAAACCCTTTGTTGAGTGCTGAATGCTGAAACAAAGAGTGACAAATTAGAGAAAACCCCCGCTGTGTAATTGAAGCATTCTGCTCAGTGTGAAGAGGATATGAATTCATTCAAGTTTAAATTTAAATCCGAGAAATATTGCAGGCTCATCTGCCGTGCAATTTCACTGTTGAGTGCCACCCAGCAGGTAAGCCAGAGCCACTGATTTCAGTTATTTCTGTTATTTGTTTTGACATCACAAATGGAAATTTTAAAGTAGTGGAAAATACCTTGAGGTGTAGATTATCACTTTCTCCTTTCTCTCAACGTCCACTTCTTGATTTCCCTTCATCTTCCTCCCTCCTCTTTAGTTTTGCTTCTCCTTTCTCTTCCTTTTGATTGACATTAGCAATTCAGTGGAGCCTCTTGTTTTGTAATTGATTGATTTCCCATTGGCAAATATTCCATTCGTTCATGTAAACGTTACAGTGAGAGCAATCAGACGGAACGATTTTTGAGGCTGGAGGCTCAGGTACAGCAGGCGGTGTGTGGGATGAGCTTTTAATCAGTGCCGAGCATTATCGCTGCAAAACAAAATAAGTCAAGCAAATTAAGCGCTTTGAGAGAAACTGTAATGAAAAGCGAATCATCTGCAGCAACACTTTAGAGGACAATTTAGCATATGATTGCAACTTTAAATAGCTGCTTTATCTTCTCAGGGACTTGCACTTCTGTCACACTTCGGGGGACTGCATAATGCTCCTCGCCGCCCAAAGAAGCAGTTTATTATTCCAAATTACGCTGACAAAGATGCTCAGAGAGGAACTTTTTGTTGTCTTCCTCATTCCACTGTTATCGTCGCTTCACGGGGCATGTTTACAAAAAGATTGCTCCCTGCAAGTCTTGTTCTGACCACTGGCACAAGCGTATTTATGATGTGGACTGGATTCATCTGTTTTTCTCTTCTGCTTATCCTTATCATGGTCGTGTGGTCATTTCTCAGCTACCATAGGCTAAGAGACGGGGTACACCCTGGGCAGAAAGAACCAGACAGAACCCTGGAACCATGAGGAGAACGTGCAAACTAACATGCTAACCACTGTGCCACCGTGCTGCCCGGGCTGGGCTCAATTCAGTTTTATTTAAACTGTGTCATCTCAAGGTAAATTGGAATTGAAAGTATGCAAAAATGTTGTAGAGGAGAAACCCACAGACCCAACATATGTGATAGAGGAAGGAGGCAGCCATCTGCAGGTGACCTAACTATCTCAGATATTGAACCTACACCTGCAAAGAGGACTACAGAAAAACACAAGGAAAGAGGCTGGTCAGAAACCTGTATGCCACTGCACTCCAGCATGATGTCACAGTTTAGAAAGTTTTCATTGGAAGTCGCTTCTCAGATTCTTTAGTACATTAACTGTCAACCAACCAAACTATTTTATTGACAGAAATTACACATCAGGGTCATTTACTATGCTCTAATATGCTTTCAAATGTCTCTATTAGTATTTAGACTATACTACCTCTACTATCTAAATTATTGTAATTTAATTAATTATAGCTTTTAATCATTTTTAGCATTCCGCTAGATCTTTATACCAAACTTGAGTGAAAGTGGACCTTCCTCCAAAAGTTACCACCTGTTTGTCCAATCAAACAGTCACAGAGATCAGCATCAGAGGGTAATTGGGCCTCAAACATTGTGCCCTTAAAATCCCTTAAAGTAGCCCGTCCTGCATGCCTGCTTTAGTTTTATTTAAGGGTATCTCTGAAATTGATTCTAGTGTTCTTGGCCGTGAAAATATAGTGATTACAAATTAGAACAACACAAAAATAGTTGTAGGGAAAAAAGACTGATTTAGTAAAAGATTATTGCAATTAATTTCACAATAGTACACAGAAATATAGCTTAAATCCTAAATGACCCCACCCAGCCACTTGGTTAATGGTTTCAATCCAGAAACCAGAAAATTGCTGGACAATGGAGTGATGGATTTACAAGAAAAAAAACTTTATGTCAAATTATGAGAGGAAAAAAAAGTGACTTTAAAGGAAGAGAAAAATATGTGAGGAAAAAAACTGCAACTTTATGAGAAAAAAACCCTTCAAATTATGATAGAAAAATGTGGCAACTTTATAGTGATGGAAGCAAATGACAACAAGAAGAAAGCAGCAAAGGCATTTGATGCAAAAACTGACAAATATACAAGGAAAACATTGAAAATGTATGAGGATGCAGAACCCCCTCCCTCAAAATTTGAACCTGACTAGAAAATGAGAAGAGTGGCAATTTCCCAAGGGAGACACAGGCAACTTTGTGAAAAAAGTGGGAGATTTAGGAGAAAAAGACAGCCCTCATTTGATACGCCCCTTTTAAAAGAGCTAAGATGGTGATGTCAGATGTTCAGAATGGGACTTGACACACCAGTGAATGACATCATGGTGGATACTTCCACCGTTTTTTTAAGAGACTCATGAAAGATTAGCTGACGTTTGTTTGTTCCAGAGGTTTTCTTTTCAAATGTGCACATGGAAGAGTCCAGACCAGGACTTGCAGAGATGGGTGCAGAGACTAGACAGAACGTTCTCCCTTTAGTCATGCAACTCTTCATTTATTGGACTCTGCACTGCATAATGGGAGATTGTGCAAGTCAGAATTACCCACTGAGCCTCAGTGCACAGAAACAAAGAAACATGAAGACCAGAAGGCAGGCAACACCCATTTTTGACTTTTTATTACCAAGAATACAAAATATATCTACATTCACATACCACTTACTGTAGCATGACTCACAACATAGATTTCAAGTAAACTCCATCCAATTGAATTATCAAAATCTACCTCCACATCTCTCCCAGTTTGGAAAATCCTTTTGGTGTTTGTGTGTGATTTACGTTTTTTTTTTTATTCTTTCCTTCTTCTAAAATGTCTTTCATTTGTCCTTTTTACAGTTGGCACTTGATGCAGGTTCTCAATGTCTCTGTAGTCCACAGGATCGGAGGATTAAGCCACATTTGTGTGGGGACGGGACAGAAAAGCAACACGGTATCTCTAACAGGACAGATCAAGCCTCGTTGCCACCAGACTCCGGCTGGCACGGCGGTGGATCCAAAATGAAAGGCGACTCGGTCGGGCGTTTGTCCACGTGTAGTCCTTTCCGCTGTGCCACATGTCTCAGATGAGATTTAAACATCCACTAAGACAAATCCAAGATTTTATTTCATTTTTTTAATAAAATGCTTCCCTCTCATCCTAATGAATGGATACCTGCTTTATGTTTTGGAGTTACAATACAAAGAGCTTAAAAATGGTACAAAAACAATAATACAGTAAACATATTAACTCTGAAACCCCACATGGGACTACGACATCGCCATCTCCGCAGCACGTCATGTGACATTTAGAGATGCAGCTTCTCACACGGATTGAAAACAAAGGCAGTTACATCATGTATGTTACAACGTATGCGTGATCTTTTGAAGATTTCCTCGCATGGCAGAGGCTTAAAGTACAGTCTCGGCTTGAAGGACCCAAATAACTTAGCAGAACATATAAATACAGCAAGTGGAACAAAGAAATAAATTAAGACCTGCCACGGATGGAACAAAAACACGACTGCAGCAACGACTCCTCGCTTTGATTCTTCAAGCCCATCTCTGGCATAAATTGCTCGGCGTCTTGAATCGAAGGGGCTCTGCCTGTGGCTGGGTCAGGCAGTTGAAGTTGGCGTGTGCTTTGAAGCCGTTCCTCAGCTTGGCCCCCAAGAGGCTGCCAGATTCGGCCTGCCTCTGAAGCCCGTCTCTGGGGTAGATTTAAAACCTGCTGCAGGCCTTCAAGGCTGTGGAGAATAGAGGCTTCGGCAGGATTTTGATTTCTAACAGTCATGGATGTGGCCATGAATACATCTCAGCTTTGTTGTTGTCACTTCTTGGTTGTTTCTGTGTCTTTTTAAAAAAAAAATCTCTTCATACGTCCGTTTGTAAAGGAAAAGGCCCCATCGTCCTACCACAGTGGAGGACTGTTTGTCTCCAGCACGCCGTACATCTCAGCAAGTTTTTTAAAGCGAGGCCCCCAGTCATTCAGGTAGTCGTACTCATGGTCGGTGTTTGAGGTTCCAGATTGCAACGAGCTGAGGGACTCCGCGACAGAGCCTTCCCCCTCATAAGCGTACGTCTGCAGGGAGTCGTAAGGCGGGGCGCACGGGTCCATGTCGGCTTCCAGGAGCTTCGCCAGCACGTATCCGTGAACATTGCTGTCCCCGCTGCCGCCGCCCATGACACATGCCTGAGGGACGTATCGGGACAGGCTTTCGATCTCCGGCAGCATGTCCTGTCTCATCTTGCCCGGATGGTGGTGCGCCTCACGAGGGTTCCACATGGCGGCGATGTCGAAGGCCTCGGTGTCTTCTTCGCCACCGCCTTCATCGTCATAGCGCACGATGTTCTCATGCACGTTCTCCTCCTCGTCACACAGGTAGGGCTTCTTACGATGGGTCCGCAGGGAAAGCATGAGCAGGATCATCACTGTTATAAAGGGAAAAAATGAATGAGTATAGAGGCCATAAGGAATCAGTGGTTTAAGTAAATGCTGTGACAGACACGGTTATTCATTTTTAAAATTCTTGGTGTTTTAATGTTAAAATGTAAAACCAAGCCTCGACCTCTGCAGCTACAAACCAACAATTGAAGTTCTAGTGGCTACTCCCATCTTTTATATACAGTCTATTATAGCTACTCATGGCAAAAGATCAAGACCCGGGTTTTCAAACATAAGGCCGGGAGTCCAGAAAGGCTCCAATGGGGCCGCTAGATGGCTTTGGAATATTTGAAGGAGTGCATAGATTTTTAACTTTTATAATAAGGACTCAACTTACTTATTCACATCTATGAATAATTAACTAACTCTGGGAATAGGAGCAAGTATAAAAACATTACCAACTGATACAAAACTCAAATAAAGATATTTTTAGAAAACACTATTTCATAACCCTTCAGCTCAAATGCATCAACAGTGTTCAAGAAGAAACGCTTGTGCCATCAAAACCAGAATTACTGCATCTACGAGGAAAAAATAAAATTCACAAGAAGGCGAGCAAGGATGTTTTAAGAAAATTTACTGCTGCCTGTCAGAGCAGCAGAGCGAGTCAACCTGCTGAGCCCTCCTACCCGCAGCTACAGGTCTGCAGGGAGAGATAAAGCGGGTCCGTATCGTCCCCTGGGGAACTGAAAGTGTGATGCTACAGGGCAGCTGGTGCTAATGAATGCTAGACTTTCTGCGAGGGTGAGAAAATAAATCCATATTTAATCCTACAATGCTGATGTCACACCGGGAGATGCCTCCTTTTTTGCAAACAGACTTTTTAGCCTTCGGCTGTTGTGTTGTGTCACGTCTTGCGTGATCTAAGATCTCTCGGCAGGCTGCATATTTTGCGCACTTTGCTTTTTAAGTTCAGCTTCAGGGTTGATTACCTTCTTCAGAGGGGGTATCACAAATATTTAAAGTAGCACACCGACTCGCTGAAAGGTCAGGGTGTAAAACAAAGTGCGGCAGTGATTTTAATCACGGCCCGCTCCTACCCCTGAGGCTCGCCCTCAGCTGGTTCTTTCACATCCTACAACAGGAGATTAAAATGTGGTCTGACTTGGAAAATATTTTCCAGCCACATATTCCAGCAGTTTACGGCAGCTGCATGATGTCTTTCTGCATTTGTGCACTTCACGTTTGACCTGTCAATCAGACAGGCGTCCAAAATGAGACGAACCGTGAAGATTTCGGTGCAGAAAAAGGTTCTCGTCGTGCTGGGTTTCCAACATGACATTCACAGTTTGTGCAGAGCATGATTGGACAAATCAGGGACAACTGTTTCACCAATGTTTTTCTTTTTTAAAACAGCGATTGCAGGACTCAAGGATAAAACCACAAAATGGAGACCAAAAGCAACATTTTATAAATATTCACAAATATTAAACATGCCTAACCCTTATCCCTTTAAATCTCACTTGTTACACAGGACACTTCAGGGTAAGTATAGTGGAAGGTTTTACTACAGATTCTCAGTGCTTTGTCCTTTAATTTCAGGTAGGTTTAGGTCATTAATCTGAATTCACTATAGATAATAAAATCTTGTTTTGTAGCAGACTGTAAATATGCTTAAAATTTGGCATGTTAGCATGGAAGTCTAAGGGCATTGGTTCTTGTCTTATGGAGCCAGCCTCAAGTGGCCATTGCAGGAACTGCAGTTTTTGGCACACTCTTTATATTAAAACTCAAACGTTCGTTCCCTTTAATATGTAAGAATAATAAACCATGTAGGGCAGCAGCACTTATGTGTGTCACCTAAACTTAGGCTTTGTGAGCTTTTAGCTGACACGGTTATTTGCACATCATCGTAACAGCAGCTCACCCAGCAAGACGAAAATGCAGGCCAGGATGGCGATCAGAGCCCCCCTGCTGAGGCTGGCGGGCAGGCTGTAGGCCTCAGCGTTGCATGACATGACGTTGCCCTCCTGGTCGCAGCTACACACACGTATAGTCAGCGTGCTGGTGCTACTCTGAACCGGCTGCTCACTGTCCGAGATGAAAATGGGCAAATAGAAGACGGTCTGGTCTTGCTGTGACCAACCGCCACGGCGAGTCAGGATCCACGCTGTGTTGTCTGGAAGCGAACACAGAGGTCACAAAAAGATCAAGTTAGTGTTCAGAAATACAACAATAAGATGCTAGTGTGAGGTAGCTGATAGCAGCAGGGTTTCATGTATGTGCTGCGTTCAGGGTAACTGAACACGCGGAGGAGTCATGGGATGCTGGTGAGAATTGAAGACGAGCACAGCTGTGAAGAGGAAATGTCGACTGAAGCTACTAAATATCACACCTATTACTCACAGAGGCTTATTTCAAGACACTGATCTTTACTGTCAATATATAGCAGGAAAAAAGAGTATTAACTCATTCACTGCCAATCGCTGGCAGTGAATGAGTTAATAGCCTCACATACATTTGATCATCTCCCACGGTTTCTACAGCTGTTACTGTAGTTAAAATTATGTATTAAATATCCTTTAGTGCAATATTTCTGTCTAGCCTGAGGGAGAAAAAGTTAGCGAAATTATCTGATTGTTCTAAATTACTATAAATATAATTCTGCTTTGCATTCCCTTCCCCACGCTCCTAGAATGTAATTATAATGGAGAAACACTGAATCCTTCATTATATTTTTATTAAGTAAATGAAGATATTTGAGAAGAATCATCTTTAACAATATCAAGAACATGAAGATTCATAAGAATGTGAATTGTGTGTTTTAATGAAAGGAATTAAAAGTCCTTAGCAAGTTCTAAAATTTGATAAATACAAATGACACTTCATATTTGCATAACTGATTTAGGAAAAATGAAGCCAAAACACAGCATGTGTGGTGAATACTAAGTATACCCAAAGAGGAAAGACATCTGCAATGATCTTATAGAAGCAACTATCGCTGGACATTAGTCTGGAAAAGTTACACAATCTTTTTCAAACAATCTGAAGTCATTCTGCAATGAGAGATTCTTCATAAGTGGAAGTTGCCAGGAGTGGACATCCCAGCAAACTCAACCCAAGGTCAGACTGTGCAGTGCTCAAAGAAATTGAGATGGGTTTTTAACGATTTGTACAGGTGTCAGTTAGCATGCTATATGTTAAAATTCTGTTACAACTAGGAGAAGACGGAAGATGGTTAGGTTGCCAGGGTTGCCAGGTATAGGCCTGTTCTCTCTAAAAAACAACATGGCAGCATGGCTTAGGTTTGCAAAGTTGCATCTGAACAAACCACAAGACTTCTGCATTAATGTCCTCTGGACAGAAAAGACCAAAGTGGAGATGTTTGGCTATAATGTACAGCAAGTACCAATCACAGCATGTCAGCACTAACGCCCCATACCAAATGGTGAAGGGGTGATGATTTGGCACAGGCACAGGACCTGGCCACCTTACAGTAGTTGAGTTGACCATGAACTCCAGAGTATCTGCCTCCACTTCCAAGTATTCTAGAGCCAGTTTTGAGACCATATGTCTGGCAGCTTCATCGAAACTGAATCATGCAACAGGACAATGATCCCAAACACAGCAGCAACTCTACAACAGACTGGCCGAAAAAAGAAGCGGTGTTATAGTGTAGTTTTTGTTAAAAAAAACACACATGCTGCAGTTCATTTGAGGTTGTATTTCAATAATAATTTAAAGATTTTGACTTGCAGATGATTTTTAATTATGTCCTGATTCGTAAGACCTTAGAACAGAAGGAAGCTGTACTTGCTTTTTACCACGACTGCATTAAAATGTAAAAACCATGAATATTTACTGCTGGGCTGCATACTTCCATACTACATATTTTACTGTGGATGCTGCTCTTCCATAGATAAGGAGAAACAGCGATCTTATTTTACTGGTCCAACTCACTAGAAATCAAATTAGCCTGCATGGAAAACTCGTGCATGACACAGAACCATGACTGAACGTGTACCTTGGTTATCTTTCAGGGTGAAGTTAGGGTTGTTGACGGCCTCTGGAGCCAAGCTGTAGTAGAAGTGCTGCCCACCAAGCGGCTCGTCTGGATCTACTGCTGTCACGGTCTGGATCAGCTGGATTACAGACATGAAAGTCATATTTAAAATCTGCTAATGGCTTATTTCACTTTCAGCAAGAAATGGCAGAAGTAATAGTCGAACAGATGTTTTGTAGTGGAGAAAAATGTGTTTTTCTGGAGTACAGGTAAGGGTGGTATAAAATGTGTCTCAGATTTTACTCTAAGAGCACCAGAATATAAATTATACAAGTATTTTATCATCATTAATGACTTACAGGGACTTATTCCAAACACTGATGCAAACTGGTGTGTCCGTACCTGCCCTGCTTTGGCATTTTCACACACATACGCCTCCAGGTAGTGCATCAGCGACGGAGGATTATCATTCACATCCAGGACCCTCACAGCCACCGACACACTTGCGATCTGTGTGGGGTTATCTGCAGGGAAACGCAAACTGGTCAGAGGCTGATGGACGGAGATAAATGACTCTGAGAAATCCTAAGGTGCAGCATGTTTGCTGTAAAAGATTTACGGAGGAGCTCAGCAGGATCCTCACAGATTACAGTCCTGTTATTCCCCATTACAGCCTGCCATTTGCATACCCTAACCAGCTGTGTAATAAGCTGTGAAAACACAATTAGTGCAAAGTAACTACTTTCTCAGTTTTCATCACATGATCCATCCATCAGAGGTGTGAGATTAGCTCTCGAGGTCAAAGCTCCACGTGGTCTTACTGTGCTTTAATATTGACTGCAGTGAGCGTGCTCCAACTTTGCTGAAGTTGAAGATTTGGTAAATTAATAATCTACGAATTAGTTTAGTTCAAATTGAACTACACTGTGTAACAAATTAAAGTTCTGACACAATCTCCAAATTAATTATCACTTTTGGTAACAAAGTGTTGACTCTATCCTAAACGCATTGTCAAAATTCTTAAAAAAAATTCACTTAATGCTTTCAGTTCTCACATAATCACCTTTTTAATTACTAGTATTGTTAGTGTCCGACTGCTTTTTGTGTTTAATTTAGTACATTTAGCAGTTTTTGGACACAATTTCATTAACACAAGTAACACAATTTTGTCATTAAGAAGCTAATGTAAAATTGTTGACACATCATAACACACATACCTTTCACAAACATGGCTCAATCTCAGTAATCTTATGTCCACAGGTCTAAAAATACTTATATCACAACTATAAAGTTACAATTTCATGTGCGTTCCTCGTTATTTTTGCTCTTGAATTTACAGCAACATATAAAAAGCTACTCATTTTTAAAGTATGAAGTGAAAATAAGGACTGTGAAGTAGAGAGAAAGTTTTTTATCGTCAGCTTTGTTTTGTTCCGGTACATTGAAATTTTTCCCCTCTTCCTCTCTGTGCCCTTTCCGTCTCCGTCACATCTTCAATTAGCCACCATGCGGGAAGTTCTTTAATTAGTCATTAATTCAATTACCATCTCCTTTAAGGTGTGTCTACCAAACAAAGGCACAAACAGACAAACAAAGCAAAGGGAGGAGGGGTGAAGGTGACTTTCGGGGCTACCAGCTGTGTGTGGCTCTGCGGGGCATCTCCTGCTCAGCGTTACATAACTCTGCAAGAGCTGTTCTCAAAAAATCACTCAGTCTGCGTTCATTCAAGTTTACTCCATCCACCTGTTTGTTTCTGTTTTCTGCATAAAGCCGCTGAATGAATCTCACAGTTTTCTGCTGTTAAGTCCTTAAATTCAAACAGTTATTTAAATTTGAGTTTTACAGGTTATGATAACTGTATGCATGATTGATTTCTATATTTTTGAAATGTTAGCACTAATCTGTGTCACGTAGTGCTCCCATACCACCTATGGATGCACATGCTGTTCAAAAACTACTTTAGTCTTTAAATAGAGACTACACTGTAATGGCATAAAAGCAGCAAAAGCAGAACTCAGTTATAGCCAGATGTGTCTTTATTTGCATGTGTGTAAGACGTACTCATCTCCATGGCGAGGATGGTGATGTTGTGCCAGCCGACTTCCTCTCGGTCTAGCGAGCGCACCGTCATCAGTGACCCGGAGGTGATTTCGATGTAGAAGTACTTGTCGGGGTCACTGGATCTGTCGATGGAGTACCTGGTGACACAAGATGATGACATAATGACAACAATGATAAATAAAATGCACCTTTGTGTAATTTTAAGTGGTTCATAGGGTAATGCATGCACGCACACATAATCCAGCGCGTGACCCACGCATGGATGTGTGTGATAAGATGTCAGGCTGGAAACTCCTGAGGGAACTATGAGAAGAGGCTCCAGATAAGACTTAATCAGAGTATCTGCCTCCTCTGCCAAACTTCCAACATGTTGGGACATGCAGACCTGCAGAGTGCCGCCCTGGCTCGTTTCCTGCCACCATGGGCCATTTTCCAGAAACGCTCTTTTGAGAGAGCCACGCAGCAACAACAACAACAACCGGCCACACTCACACACACAGGAGGAGAGGGATGAAGAGCGCATCCTCTTCCAGGCTGTGGAGCATAAACCAATTTATTCACACAGAGATGGAGCTCACCTGTCACTGCCATGCTCTCCTCTCACCTGGAAGAGCCGCAAATGTGTGTTTCAACCAGGAAACAAGCATATGTGTGTAAATCTGTGATCTGATCTGATGATAACTTGCATGTTGTTGCACTTTCATTTTTTCCAAACATAAGGAAAAAAAGGAAAGTAAACTGTATTCTGTTAAATTCCTTAAAGGAACGTTAAAATGATGTTATAACAGAGCGTCAGTGACGTAAGATTTTCTTCTGCAGTTATATTGGAGCAGTGAATACTAGACAGCACTTATTGAGCAGAAAATCTCTCATATGCTGAGGCAAGACTAGCATGCACAGATAATCAATAATAGCTTATGAAAAACCCACTTTTGTGCTATTTTGAACTTTTATAATTTGATTTGAGAGCAATGCATTCACGCAGATATAACACATCTTCTCCTTCACTGCATCCACGAACCTCCTCCAAGGCCTTCTTCTTTTCCTCCTGTCTGGCAGCTCCATCTTCAACATCCTCCAAATAAAAGTTTTAGCATCTTCAGCTCTGCCACCTCCAGCTCGACCTTCTATCTGCTTGTTTCACTCTTGCTGCTAACCTTTAGTCAGAAATCAGTCCTGACACTCATTTCCACCCACACCACCCTGCCAGCACCCTCTCCTTCATCACTTTTGTGCATCGTCCATTGTTTTGGATTGTTTACCAGAGGTTTTTAAACTCGGGTACCTTCACTAACTGTACATCACACACATGCATTGTGTCTTGCTTCCATTGACATTCATTCCTCTTTTCTCCAGACCATACCTCCACCTCTGCAGCTCTCTTCTACCTACTCCTTACTTTCACTACAGATCACAGTGTCATCTGCAAACACCAGTCTTCACCGTAGACTTGTATCTGACCTTATCTGTCAACCTGTCAAACAATAAGGGGCTCAGACCAGATATCTATATATGTAATCCTACCCCCACCTTGAACCCATCTGTCACTCGTACTGCACATCTTATCACTCTCTCGTTGTCCATGTTCATGTCTAGCACCACTTCCTCTCCCACTCATAACTTCATCACAGTTCCTCCTCATGTAACCTGTCATGTGCTTTGTTTTTCACTGCTGCAAATCCTGATATTTTAGTCTGAACTTGCCCTGGTTAAGTCTTCTCTTTTAATAAATATGACCAGTTGTATTTGTCTTGTAGAAGCGCATTAAATGCATCACATCATACTGACACAGGCAACATACTGAAGGAAGAAATATTTTTGCCTTTAAATGACTAATTAACACACATGCTGTTGTGATCATCACCAGATGCAGATATCAAATGTTTAATAAAAGTCTGTTGCTGGCACACTGAGGCATTAGCAGCAGACTGTGCTTGCAGACTTGCTCGCTGTGCGCGTTTTTGACTGACTGCCGACAGGAAACGGTCGAGATTGGCATGTCTGCCGCTGGCGAGGATCTCCCTGAAGGATCTCTATTAATATCACTGGTCCACAGTCCTGAGGAGGGGGGGAGGGGGCAGTGTGTGTGAAAAAGCAGGTGAAAAAGTGTGAGGTGAGTGCATACAGATGTATCTGCCAGTCACGCTGCAGCGCAGAAAGGACGGAGAGATGACAGATGAGGCAGACAGAGACACTGAAGGTCACCTGCTGCTTGTTGTTATCTGCCATCTGATGTTGCTGTTGCTGCAACAGCCGATTCCTCAGTTATCTGCAGCTCCCATTGCCAAAACTCGCTTTTTGAAAATCTCTCACTGATGCTCGTCCAGCCCTGAAGATTTTAGTGACACGACATTTTCAGACTGCAACTTCAGCTGCTCTGAATCCTGTTGCTTCCAGATATTAGAAATCGGTTTTCTGCTGATGGTCGTGATTGGGTCTTTTATTAATCATCAAAACCTTGGATGACTACCTGTAGATCTCCCATAGCAAAAAAATAGTCTTAGAGTTACTTTTGCTAGTCTCTCTGTCACATCAGTAAACGAGGATTACTTTATAAACTCGGCCACTTGTGTCAGCCCATATAAAATAAAACATTGAGCTCATTTTCAAATTCTTACTCTAAAAGTCATTAAGGAGGATTATCCAGTGTTAGAGTTGAACACAAATCATTAACCAATGATTGTGAAGTTTCACAAATTGATCCGCCTCTTCTCATCACAACAAACAAACAAAGGTGAGAGCAATGGCTCACACTATGGTTGCTGTGAACAGAATGCATCCATCGTTAATGTCTTTACTAACACCTGTGCTTTCCTGTTTTGAAGTGTTAAAAAGAAGCTGATTAAAAAGAAGATGGACTGTTTGTTCTGTTCTTCTCTTTGCAGACAAGCTTCTTCAACAGCTTCAGAACTTCAAGTGAACAAGCTCAGCTTTTACTGATCATAGACAGACATGTGAGAGAAGTCTCCTGGTCCTCATTACTAGGCCATAATAAGAAAAACAACTTTTACTGTCAATAAATAGCAGGCTTTTATAACAGTGAGTCAGTAAAGAATGATGCATTTGAACTTGTACTAAGAACTTCCAGAATACCGCAGCCACTTCAGTCGCAGCAGTACATGGTAACCTCATTGATGAGCGTTGGCTGCATCTTGTGATTTTAAGAAGCCTCAGTCTTCAAACAGCAAACAAAAGGGCTGTTTTTAGGGAAATGGGGGGGAGAAAAAAATCAGTTTTCTGCTATGAGGTTCATTTAAAAAAACCAAAAATAAAACACATTCTCTAGGCCAAGAGAGTATTTTTTTAATGTGTCCTGAACAATAGTTCTCCAGGCTTTTCTTTGGACATTGGCTGCTTTTTCACTTATTTTCTGTCCAGTCCTTGTAAGAATATTTTAAAACCATATAATCCTGACCTATGAGTCATTCAAGGATAAAAAGGCATCTAACTGAAGGGATGAACCAGTGTTGCATCTACACATAACAGAGCACTTAGCAAAGAACCACCACCTTCTTAGCCACTTTTTCACTACCAGCCTGTTGCAAAAACGCATAAACATATTTCCCCATTTCTTTAGTTGAATGTATGAAAGATGTCAAACTGTCAAATAGAATTTTTCTACCAACAAGATGATTCTTGAAGAGCTTTTAGCTGAAAACCTGATATATCTAAGCATGGCAGTGTCCTTAAAAGATTGTGAAAATGAAGGACAAAAGAAGAAATGGCTCATTGCCACATTCACCTATTCATACAGGCACTTTTTCCTATCCTTAAGTGCTTTCTATTTAACATTCATACACATTCACAGCCATCTGTAAAACACGGTGGTTTGAGCCCACTTTACAGACAGGAGAAATGGTCAAAATTGATCAAATTATGAACACAAAGAAGTACAGTCAGATTTGTATCCAACATGTAACACCATCTGGAATCTATCTCATTAGTAATGGCTAAATCTTTCGGCATGACAATGATTTCAAACACACTGCCAGTGCAGTAAAATCATACCTGGGTAGAAAAACACAATCAGTCGTAGATTGTCCTCCTCAGAGCTCGGACCTCCACATTACAGAAGAAGTGTGGGGTCATCTGAAGGTAGCTAACATCCAAAGATGAGCTTTTCTTTCAAGAAGGTTGGAGAATTGTTCCTAAAGACTACTTAAATAAATGATAAGGAAGCTTTCCTAAGAGAGTTCAGGCTGTGTTGAAAAATAAAGGTGCTCCTACCAGAAATCGACTCTCAAGCTCATTAGGATCCTCAAAACTGTTTCTGTAAATATTTTCTGTGTTTTGTTTTGCATGTGTTGCAGGTATGCACATGTATGTCCATGTACATTTGGACATGTTTAAATAAATCACCTATTTCCTCATCTCACTAGCAAAATATGAAGAAATTGGGGATGACTTAAGACTTGCAGTACTGTTATACAGTTGAGTTGCATGACGTGTTACCTGTCAGTGAAGGGGGAAACAATAGAAGTCAATATCTATGAGTGAAAGAGGACGAAAACCCTGACACAGCACTCGGGTTAAACTGCTGAGTGTCCGTGCAGACGGATGAAGTGAGCAGCAAACACACACAGGAGTCATCTACATCGTCCTCCTTTACTTTTCACCCTGATCGAGGTGGAAAAAAGGGAAAGCTGGGACGAGGTGCAGCTTGTGTGAAGCACTCAGTCACCCCCGCAGCCGCTCATTCCTTCAGATGATTAATAGCCTAATTAAAAGGCTTTATGTCTAATTAGTTTATGAAAGGTGCAGTCTGGACGATCAACGCACCACGCAACATCTGTTCTACCTGAGCACAAACCAGACTGAAATAAATGACATACGTCGTCAGCGTCTCTACTTCTGCGTGGTCTTTGGTTGTTACACAGATTAGTCCTCTATCTCGTGTCAGCTGTCCTGCTCTGAACATACATGTGGATAAATGGGAGCTCAGTCATATCAGCCTGCAGCTGCAGCCAGCTGTGAGTTGTGTTGTTATGCTGCCCCCTGCTGGTAAACAGGTTACTTTAAACTAATGAAAATGCAGATTCAACTAAATATGATGCTCCAGATAGACTGCAGTTATTACATTATTAAATTAATGAATTGACAACGCTTGTAAAATTGTGATGAAATTAATGAAAATTACCGACATATTTTAAATACATTTTGGTTTATAAGTTTCCAAGCTTATAGAAGAGTTGCTTAAAAAATATCCATATTTAAAGGTGAAGAGTGGGAATTTTTTTTAACTTCTGTTTTAAATTCACCTCTCAGTGCATAAGTTTAATCTCTGAGAGAACCCAAACACATTCTGTGAGTCTGTCTTGGTTCCAGTTGACTGGTTTTAGTCAATGGTGGGATGGGTAATTTGTTTGCCGAACACAAATTAACTCATTGATGCATCTCAGAATTGGTTTAGTTTACTGCTTCTGAAGCCAGTGGTCTCAGAAGCTGATCGAGGCTGGGCTGTTGGCATGCAGGATGTTGGCATGCATATCCATGAGAGCACCATACCTGATCTGATTGTTTCTGGTGGAATCTGAGCTACCGAGATGAGGCATTCCAACCTAAGCTTGTGCCACATACAGACTTCTCTAGCCACCATTTAGTCCCTGTGTCTCTGAACATGTTGGGTTGATGCCTTCATCAGGCTCAATCAGTGACCTTTGCACCCACTGAAGGCTACACTTATCCAAGAATGGAGAAAAAATCCTCAGATACAGATTGTGCAGTCCATGTTTAGACAGTGACTGCTAGCATCACATCCAGATAAGGCCACACCTTATATCAAGCATCTTGTATCTACATATATTACAGTGTTGGTGCATAAAATCTGAAGCCAGTAGAAACAACAAAGAGGACTTTCAGCAGATTGTTTCTGTCACACATCTGCACAGAAATTCTGCTAAATCAAACCATACGAAGCACATAACTGGAGCATTATCACAAAAAATAGAAACTTTGCCTTTGAGGTGGTTTTTTTGTCGTATCAAGGGTATTTATTGACCTATTTAAATGCTTAAAATGTAGACTAAACTCTTGCACAGTAAGCATGTTTGCAGTAAAACTGCAAAACTACTGAAGCACACAAAATCTGGAGTGGTTTATTTGTCATCCTCACCTCACAGTGTTGTTGGCAGCATCCGGATCCCTCGCTGACACGGTCTTCACCATAGTCCCGATCTCTGCGTCCTCTGGCAGCTCGACGTAGTACGCCGGCGAGTCGAACAGCGGGGGCTCGTCCACGTCCTCTATGCTCACGTGCACGATGGTGACGTCCTTGAAGGGCCCGCGGTGGCGAAAGGCCGGATCCAAGTGGGTGTTGGCTCCCTCCACCTTTAGAGTGTAGCTTGGCTTGATCTCAAAGTTTAGCGGCTGATGGGGTAACACACAAAAAGATTTTAAACTTTTAAAAATGAACTCTGGGGTTAAGACGTGGATTGAGATTAAAAGGTTAAACTGCTGGTATTTAATGGTAAAATCAGCAAATGCTGGGCCTATCTGCTAGGAACTGTCCAGCTCAAAATAAAAAAGAAATATTAAGTATTTATTTCAGTGCTGAATTTACTGAAGAGATGCTGCAAAAAGAATGTGATCTTTCCCTCACTCAAGGTGAAATTAAATTGATAAATTCCTGAAGGGACTTTTGAGTGTAGGACAAAGAAGGCTTTCAGCCTTTTGTAAATGATAAAAAATGGACTGTTTCTTTTTTAAAAAAAGAAAAAGAAATTGGATAGTTAATATCTATATCATAATATCATCTTTAGTCTGTACCTTTTTCACTGTGATGATGCCAAAGAGGTTTGTAGGGTCGGTGCTGATGTCAAAGGTGTCCCTTCCATCCCCATCGATGATGCTGTACTTCATCTCAGCATTGACCCCAATGTCCCTGTCCTTCGCCCAGATGCGTCCCACCACCGACCCCACAGGAGCCGACTCAGGAATGCTCATCTGGTACAGCCCTGAAGACACAGATTAACATGAGTGTAATCAAACGGGTTCACTTTTCAGTCCTCTAGAGGGAGCCAAACCTCTTCGGCTCCTCTTGTCTCCAAACCACATCTCAAGCCGGATGAAATAAATGGCTCCATAAACGCCTCACAATTGGGTTATCTACTGTCTCATGGGTCGGCTTGAATTTCATCTACCGTTTAACCTCAAAGAAGAGGTGACAGCTGCCCAATTTGTGGAGCTCCCCGCAGCCTTAAAGCGAAACGCTTGCACATTGTGTTTGTCGGAGGGGAATCCCTGAAGCTCTTCACAACCGATCAAAGTTCCATCAGAGTGATGGCGTTAATTGGTTTGGGGACTGGTGATGGAGGAGGAAGTGGGAGCTGGGTGTTTTCTTTGTCTAAGAGCGAAGCCACCGGTCGGCCAAGCCGAGATGACCGCAGACAGCTAGACAAACCCCTGACCTAATGAGAGAAGTAGAAATTGGTATATTGAAAGAGACAGCATGGGGCGTCTGGTGGCTGGGAAGAAGGAGAAGAGGGAGGGAGGGAGGAGGCCAGAGGGTAAATGACTGGGGATTGGTGGCTAGAAGTGGACAGAGGGGCTAATGGCTTGGGTTCTCCAGAGAAATGAAGTGGATAGATGTAGAGATGAATAGTTTTGCACAGTTCTTATTGGGGGCAGTTTTAAAAATACACAAAGCACACCACGAGTGAGGTGTCAACCCTGAAACTAAACAGTGATCTCAGGGCCATTTCAGGGCTCTGAGTTTGGGTTCCTGGCCTGTCTCAGCTGCAGCACGCTCAGGCTGTACTATAATGCACAACACAGAGTTCAGTGTAAAGTCAGCATCATTTTAAGGCCAAGCTTCCAGAAAGCAAAAACACCAACTGGCTCAAAATCGAGACTTAATCCCACTTCTTACCAAAAATAATAAAACAGTATCAGTATTATGCTGAACCATAAAAATATACAAAACTGCATGATAAGGTCTTCCTAAAGAACGACATCTGAGCTTTCTCCAGAGACTCCAAAACTTAACTTTGAAAAGAGGACTTCTTATGAAGATTAAAAAAAGTGTTTACTGCAGTAGAAGTTAAATGGTTGTTTGTTTTTCCTTTTAGTTCAGTCATTTGTCTGATAAAAATTAAGAGCTAATTTGTGGACTGCTGGTTGGACAAATCAGCTCACTGGAAGAATATCTTCTGACATTTAAAGTAATGCTTTGTTTCAGCCCTCATTACCTCAGGGAGTCATAGCTCAAAGCTGCACAGTTTGTATATACTCAGAGGCTTTTTCTTTTTCTTTTCGAAGTTTTCCTGCAGTATATCACACGCTGCTGTTTCATAGCTGCTGAGACAAAGTACATGTTGCTCCTCCTCGAGGCTGATATGGGTTCAGGTAGAAAATCAATAAAACTAAGAAAAACATCTGCAGAGGGTTGCTTACTTTGGTCAAACATGGGCGGGTTGTCGTTGATGTCGCTGAGCGTGATGTTGACAGTAGTGGTGCCGGCTAGCCCCCCCAGCTGCCCGCCCATGTCCTTCGCCTGGATGACCACAGTGTAGTTTTCTCTGGTCTCGCGGTCCATGTCTGCCAGGGACACACGGACCACGCCTAAAAACAGAGAGGCAAATTAAAGGTCAGTTGACACAGACTGAGGTGAAACAGCCAAAGGATGGTGTCCTGAAATGAACGTAAAACCTTGATGATCAACTGATTTTATATTGATCTCTGTCTGTTCATGAGGGATTTTTCCAGCATCTCGTTGAATCTGTGCATGAAGAATTACGCAAGTCATGAAGGCAAAAAGAGTTCAAACCCATCGCTAGCAAGGTGTACCAAATAAAGTCGACAGTAAATGTGCATTCTGCTACATCCAAAAGGTGATCTGCTGGTGCCTCGGGGGCTTGAGAGGGGTCCAGTGTCATCCTAATACACATGCATGCATAAATCATCCTCGCACCACACACCACAACTAATTAGTTTCTCTAATTTAGAGTCCCCCACCCGAACACACATTACTGTTATTTCTCATTTGGATATCCAATATGTTAGTATGATATGATGCTATGGCAACTGTACACTGTTTTTAAATTATAAATTGTGCAAGCTAGCAGAATGGCAGTCTAGTTTATGCCTGATAAAAAATGAAAAATGTTTTTTTTAGAAATCATAATTAATATTTTCCTCATTAATGATGCATCTCACAAACCATCCTCTGTTTTTCAGGATGTTAATTTTTATGCAGATTAACCACTGTGCCTGCGGACATATGTGCAATCTGTGCATCGTTACAATGGATGCCACTTAAGCCCAATAATCTCATTGTCATGTTAATGAAACCAGGTTCAAATTACTTTTTTGGCTTTGTGACATGGTGCATTATCATGCTGAGAGCAGTCATTAGGAGATTGTAAACCATGCGAATGACCAGGAACGTTTAAGGGGAGACATGGTATTCAGATAATAATGAATCAAAATCTACGGGCAAATGTCCCAGACCACAAAGAGTCAATCAACACCCAAGCTGAGAAATATGAAAGCCAATCATCTTGTTGCACTGAGACATGCACAGAGCAGAGGTTTGGGACAATTTTAATTGTGCAGCAGCAGACATATCTACTTGTTAATGTGGTAGAAATGTTGATAAGCATTCTTTTTGCTTTGCTGTTGTAGCCATAGCATGACTTTAGATTGCATTTGTCCAGAGCTTTTGTGGGACAAGCAGACACTGACCAAGTTAGCACAGATGTGCAAAAAGCTGCAGCTTTCAAAAACATCTTTATAGCCTGATATAAAAAAAAAGTTCTGGCCTTTACGGATAGTTTCTCTACAAAGGGCACTACGTTTTGAATCATCAACCTGGATGAGTTAGGGGTCTGGCACCAGCAGATGAATGCACAGGTATTTGCCATAGACAGTACATACGATGTAGCCAAATTAAAAATTGGTCAGAAAGGACTGTTATCCTGGTGATGCTCACTCGTTCACTTGCTAATTGATTTTGATTTATTTATAGCGTGACTTCACCAACCAGTGAGACGCATCATGTTCCTATGTTCCTGTTTATTCTCTCTTTGGTAGTTGGTAGACTTCACCTCTGCTAATGGGAGTCAACGAACTGGACCTCTGAACCGCCCAATTGAATTACCTGACAAATAATATCGGCCGCTGCTAAAAACAGCCTGCCCAAGAAGCTTTTGTTTCAGTTTGGATGAGAAAATCTAGTTAATTAGCACTAATTAGCAGGTATAGGTGTTGCACTCATACAATTTGCCAATTTCTCATCCAAGAGGTTTTAGGTTTTAACAGCTGATGGGATTCTCAGCCAGTTAAACCCTGGTGGAGTTGTCACCTTAGAAGTAGACCTGAGGTTTGACTTACGCTGTTATCATGAGAGTTATTAGGGTCAGATGCATCTAGATGTGAGTGGGAGTTGAAACAGATGGGATCTCAAAATATATCTGTAGGCGACTGATCGATGATATCATTTTCAAGGACCTAAAAAAAGAGTTGCCTTCAAGCACCTAAGACTACCATGACTTTGAAAAAAAAAAAAAACAACAATGTGGTGGTGGTCATGAAGATGTAATAATGTCCTTTTTAGATTCTATTTTGAGTCAAAAGAATCAAACTTTGTGGCTTCATATTTAGTGGACTTCAAAATAATTTTGCAGTACCTGACTTAACGTGACTTGCTTCTAGAAAAGGTCAACTGTGGTACTGAAAACATCATCTCTGACCATAGATTTGAGCCTGCTATCTGCAGCTTTAGGACAAAAAGGAGACTAATCAGACCAAGATACATTTTTGTCCAGTTTTAGTGAGTCTGTGACCTCTGCTGCCTCAGTCAGACTCAATGTGGTCCTTTGCTGTTGTAGCCTGTCCACCTCTGACTCAAATGCTTTCTTTCTCAGCACGGACGTGAAGATTGGTTATCTATGCTACTGTCTGCCAGCTCCAACCGGTCTGCCAGCTGACCTCTCACCTAACTGAACTCCAGAAGCAGCTGTGGTGGAAATCTCACAATATCAGCAGTTGGAGAAAAACCACATTACTCATGATTCTGATGTTTTATGTTTAGATTAAGTAAGCATTCGGACTTATCTGCAGACTTTAATGTTTTGCTCTGCAAACACATGATTGCGTGATCAGATGAGCACATAATTACACAGATGCACAGGTGTTCCTAATGAAGTTATCACTCAGTGTCCTAATCAAGAAGTGGAAATAATCACATTTACTTTAGTTCGAACTGAAAATGAGAGCAAAGAAAAGTAAGAAATTGTTGCTTCTAGAGGATTAAATAAGGTATTTTTTTGCATAGCTGCACAGTTAAAGTGCACGTAACCAACCTCAACCCTGCAACCTCACTATTGGCTTACAGCCTAATTTCTCTGAATCACATTTGCGTGCTTTTTTCAATTGCTTTTATTTGAAATCTGCAGCACAATTCATGCAAGGTAAAAGTTCTGTGCTACAGAATCAGAAAAGGAGTTCAAGTTGCGGGCAGCTCCAAGGCTGTCTGTGTTTAAGTTGTACATTGTGGCAGCACCAATAAAAGCTGTGCCTATAGTCGAGGCAGTGAGGCTGATTGATGGCTGCAGAGCCGACCTACAGCAGCAGCGGTAGCAGTAGTCTGACTGGCTGTTGATGGGCAGTGCACCCTCAGCGGTTTGGCAACAGATTCTGTGCTGACAAAGAAAAGGGACAGCTGTGTTAAACACTGGCCAGAGGTACTAATGGATTTTTGGACATGGTAGTAAATCCTTTAACCACATCCTAGAAAGCTACAGGTTTAAAGAAATCTTCCTCTTTTACAAGTTATGTTTACCTTATTTTTATATGCTGTTATTTTGTAAAACACGCTGGCCAACCAATAATCTTTATTCTTCTTCTTTTAAAAGATACCTGGCTGCAGTAGTTTGATCTAATTCAGACCCAAGAGTATTGGAGAGGTCTCTCACGCTTGTGGGTTGATAATTTAGTTCATCCCAAAGCTGTTAGATGGTCAAAGTCAGAGCTTTGTCTGAACAAGTCCAGTTTTTTTCCACACCACGCTGTACGCTGGCTTCACGCACTGAAGCACTGTCATGTTGAAACAGGAAAATGATAAATACACAAAGGTGGAAGTGCACTACCAAAAATGTCTCCACTTTTTTAAACACCCTCAGTGTGTAAATAGTCCTGTCTCCCTTTTTGGGATCGTCTGTTGTCATCCTGAGGTCCCTGGTTAGTCTCCATGTTGCTGTACTCTGTTTTTTATCTGCAGTTAGTATTCGTGCATTATTCTTCCTGTCTTTTGGGGGCAGCTGTGGCTGGTTGGATGGTTGGATACTTGGCTCCTCCCATCAATGGTCTGAAGCACCATTGAGTAAGATGCTGAACCAGCTAGTTACCCCAGTGCTTCATGTGTGTAATGTTATGTCTAGATAAAAACACTGTATGAATGTATGTGTGACACTAGGAGTGTTAAAATGGTGTAGTTGCATACTTGACAACATTTAATTAGTTAACTGGATGCAACATAATGGAATATTAGTTGGTAAAAGGCACTAACATCACTAAAAAAAAGACACAAAATCTAGTTCAGTGACTCAAATTAGAGAAAGTGAAGCTGTGGCTTCCAGCTGCAAGTCAAGGTTGCCACAGCAATAATAGAAAACTTAAAGCCTGAAAAAACCCAGGTGGTTAGGTTGCAGTTTTAAATCAAGACAACAGCACAATTATCCTAAATATACAGACAGGTTGTAGCAAGCTGTAAACGTATTTATTTCTGCTATAAAGCCAGACATTTTAATGTGAGAGTCTCGGGGGAGTGACTCAGTTTTTGCCCGTAAACCAAAAACTGCTTCTTTTTTTTTTTTTTATCTTCGCTACAACCAAAGGGAGTACGCCACACATAAGTTTGGGGCCCTGACTTTTGTCAAATGTAGTAGCCTATATCATTTAGCTTTAAGTACAGGGTGCAACACTCCCTTTTATTATCTAATGTATACTAATAATTATTTTTAATTACTTCTGGTACTGATTGAAATGAAGAAGGTCAAGCTGTGTGATCAAAAGCATTTGCAAGAAATACATAATACAAAGCCAAGTATGCTGTTTGTTTCTTGATCCAGTCTTTATGCTAAGCTAGGCTAACAGGATGTGGGTTAAAGCAGGTTTCTCAAAAACTTCAAATAGTCCTTTACTAATAAAATGACTTAAAAAATAAATAATTGTATATTTTCTGTCACCATTGATGGATTCATCATCTCAGAAGAAAATACTCAAAATATAAGCCGGTAACTGGGACTCAACTGCTGCTTGGAAAGAGATAAAAAAGAGAAAGCAGGTGAGAAGAAACCAGCAAGATGGTTAAAAGTATACTGCAAAATACATAGTATTTAATTTTATATTTCTCCAAGCGTTTGCTCTCCATGCTATGAGGCGCCGTCTGTCTTATTCTGTCCTCATTTTCAACAGAAAAGTCACACTTTGAGCTCTTTTTTTGTCGGGTGCCAGGATTTAGAGACGTGGCAAGTTGCGTCGCGTTTCAGACAAGTGTTCGGTAGTCTCATAGCAACAACAGGAACCATGCTGAGCTTCCTACATTCAAAGTCGGTTTGGTATACACAGGGGTGTGGACTGCTAAAATCAGACAAAATCAGTATGATATAGTGTTAAAAAAGAGGTGGTAGGTGCCTGTTAATAAATCTTAAGGAAGTTTGTGGACTTTATCGGGTCATCTGACATCATTCCGAGTAATTACAAATTCATATGGAGCTCATAAAATAGTTAGTAGCTGGTGAAGCTTGAAATTTCCAGCTTCTGCATGCAATGAGTGGTTTTGCAGCTTCGTACCAGTCTTGGCATCTACAGAGAAATAAGGCTGGCCCTCCAGGATGCTGTAGACCACACGTGCGCTGTTGCCATATGTGGGGTCGTCAGCATCTGTAGCGGTCAGCTGGATCACAGATGTTCCTGGAAGCAGAGGTTAGCGGGAGATGATGCAGTTATAAATAGGAAGCATCCTCTTAGGTGGAGATTTCTCCATCTGTAGACACAAACTAACTGTGCTTATTTACTTTAAAAGTATCTTTATGAATTGTGAATGAAGCAGATGGAAACGAAGCTGTAAGAACAAGCAACAGCGTCAACTCTGAAGGGCTTTTATGCACTTTGTTATTGTTCGCCATGGCTGCAAACATGGACAAACATGCACAGAGAACATTTTTGTTTCTGTCTCCTACCATGCGCCCGCCTTTCCTTTTCCTTCTGCTTACCTATTTTGGACATCTCAGGCACAGTCGCCTGGTATGGGCCATCTAGAAATCTCGGCTCGTTGTCGTTGATGTCCTGGATCTTGACGATGAACTCGGACTCGGGCTCTAGGGGCCTGTCCGTGAGGCGGTTGCGGGCCTGTGCACGGAGTATGTACTGAGCCTTCACCTCTCGGTCCAGCCTCTGGATTGCGTGGATGTCCCCCGTGCTGTCATCGATGGTGAACGTGGTGCCCGCCCCTTCCCCCGTGAGGATGTACTTAATGGAGCCATCACCTTTGTCCATGTCTGAGTGGAGCTGTGAGGTTCAGAGTTGTTAGTTAAAAGTGAAATTCTCATGGCCAGCATGAAAGACCAGTCATAAGTTGACAGTACAACAGACAAATGGTGCAGTCCAAAAGTATTAGGGCATTGACATGTTTTGGGAATGATAATTAGGTCGTATCTTCCAATTTTAGAAAAATGCAACAGCACAGCGATCCTAAGCATACAGAAATGACAAACAAACAGCTTTACTGGGACAAATGAAGCAACGTCCAAGTCAACCTCATGATCTCAGTCCAACTAAACATGTGTTATAGTTGCTGCAGAAAAAAAAACACACACCCAGAAATGAGGATACACAAGAAAAGAGGCTGTAGTACATGCCTGGAACAACGTGGCTCCCTATTTAGGGAATTAGTCAAGTTATCAAAGAACAGTAAAGTATGTGATGAAAATTTGCTATTTCACATTTTTGCAACCTGACTGTTAGGAGTGTAAGAGTAGCCATGATTCAGTGTGCACAACACAGCTACAGGGTAACTTTCTTAAAGTGGACTTGTTGTGCTCCTTTCCAGCTCCATATTTTTATTTTGGGCTTTTATTAGAAGGGCTCTCTCAGGGGCTTTGGATTCTCTGTCTGAAACAAGCCATTTAAGCCCCTCCCCCTGTAAACAGCTTTAGTCTTATTGACTGGCCCTAACAAAGAGACGGTTTGAATAGCAAGTAGGTTGAGTAGGTTAAAAAAAAATCAATGCATATGCTGGCATTGTTGACAATGGTTAAGGTGATGCTTCATGGATATTGTCAAATTTGGGTAAGTAATTTGTTATCTAAAATCTGCTGCAGCGCACTCAAACCTTTGATTCAAGAGAACAAGATGAATTAAAGTATCTTTGCCTTTGTCAGGGATTCATTTTGATCTTCTGATGATTTGCTTGCTGAAGATGATTCTTCATTAACAGCTTTCATTTGACCACCTGCTCCGTTTTACTCCCTCTTCTCTCGTCAGTAATGGAATATAAGATACGCTCTGAATCAAAAGTAGGTAAAATAAAATCAGAAGAACATAATTCAAGTGATGTCGCTTTATCAGTTTTTTTTTCATCTTCTTTCAGCCCCAGAGGTTACTCCACGGTTTCAGCCAGGGGTGTCAAACCTAAGACCCGGGTGGGGCCAGAATGTCTCACTGGCAAAGACCTCACGTTGCTCGTCGTACTGCATCAAAGTACTTTGGTTGTAGTTAAATTGCTTATTATTGTTCGTATTACATTAAATAACAGAAAATTTCCAGTTTTTGTCACAGTAAAAGAAAAACAAAAAAGAAAACAAATAAACAAATAGATATATAAATTCAGCACTTTTTTGCAAATTAACATTGTCCTGTAATTTGTTGTGTTGACAAGCATGTCGAGCTATGCTGGTGGGTTTGCGCTGCACTACAATTTGTAGTTAAACTTCTTTTCACTGAATGTTTTCTGCGATATGTAGGATATGTACCAATAGAGTTCCCAGTCTGGCCCACTTCAGATCAGTGGGTATGTGATGATTTTGGCACATGGATCTAAGCTTTTCCTGATGTAATTTGATGTATTGTGATTAGCAATTAACCAATTTTGACCTCACCAGGGCTCATTGTTAATGGTTTTTACGTTGTAGTCTAAATAATCTGGAAAAACATGAAATGTCCTTATGATAAATTAATGCATTACTGTCAAACTGATTTGAGTCCCCCAAAATTGTAAAATTCTTGACCTCCAGGGATGGTGTGTGCTTATGTGTTGTTCTTAATATTGTTGCTGGAAGTAGACATGTAATCACAGCTTACAGCCTGTTGCCCGAGACCCTGCAGTGCAATCAGAAGCCTTTTGTAGCCTCTAAGAGCAAATGTCATCCTGTTGATCTGCAATCAGACTTTACTTTGTACTTAAAGGGCCTCTGAGTATGATGAGTGCTTGCTGCCATCACACTAGCGGAGTGAAATTAAATGCCCCCCAGTCTGTCTCATATATAATCAACAGGTGTGCAGCCAGGCCACAACACAGCACTAAATCTGCAAACACTCCTTTCAAGACACACTTCCTTTGGCTGTTTTTCTCATCTGGGGCCGAGCCGAGGTGGTTGAACGGCTAAAAGTTTTGCTACTTGTTATGCCAGTGATAATGCACTAGTAGTTTTTATAATATCTTTCATTGCCGAGAAGCAGACAATACAGCTTTTCCTATCACTGCCGACAACATGCCCACCTGCACGCTCTCCTGCAAAGCCCAGCTCAGCCCAGAATAGATTTCCTAATCAGCACCTCATTGTGGACTTTAGCCCTGTGTCTGGTAGTGATATATCACAGGCTCAGCTTTCCTCTGCTTATCCACCTTCTCCGGCTCCAGTGCCTCCTTTCCTTCAAAGCCTTTGAAAGTAGCAAGTTTGACACTCGGGCTATCAATTACCTGCTCCTTCTCAGCTTTGGCCCAAACCCCCAAACCTCCAACAACCCAGCGGCTCTGAATACAAAGTTCCTCAGCAGAGGTAGGGAGAACTGAGGGGAAGCAAACTAAGGACGGAGGCTGCAATACATCTTCTGCTTTGCCCCGGACTTGAGTGGCCCTTTGGGTTGTAGCTCAGCCTGTTAGAATCACGTTATCCATTCAGTGTGAAAAAATTAGAGATGAGGAGAAACACGGTATGGAAATTTTTCACGCCATATTTAAGTGGAAGTAATATTTTTCCTGCAGATCTCTCTGTCTGCATAAGCACATGGCTTTTAGGAATCTGACATTTTCCTCAGTATTCCCAAGCGGTGGTAGTGAAATTATTCCAGAAGACTAATTAAAGCAGGTTTGCATCACTCCCAAAGGGTGATTTCTGAGGATGAGCAGTTAATACTGCAGTGCTTTAAAAGCTGATGAGGGATATTGAGGGAGTGGTAGTTCTGAAATCGGGGCTTTATACTTTTAGCTATTCAGGAATAGCAAAAAGCATTTTCTTGGTGTTTTGAAACCAGCTGTGATAAGTGAGTGATTCATCAATCACAAGTCATTAGCCAATCAGCATTCTCAGAAAGACCAAAACTTCCACAATTGACTTAATATTTTACTCAGAATGACCCAAACCTGGTGGTTGAGTTCAGAAAAAAGAAAGACTTCAATAAGCACTGGCTTCACATCCATCTTTCATAGTGTCTGTGGTGTTAGCTGCACTGATAATACTTGTTTGTTGCTCGTAAATTGGTTAAAATTGGCTTCACAGTAAGAAAAAATAGCAGGCTTGAGCATTTTGTTTAAATTTAGATACATTATTACTTCTGTATTTGTTGAAACTAAAAGAAAACATGTGCTCCTGCAGACAATTTCTATACTGTGAGAGTAATACTCAGTGAAATGGCTCCTAAATCGACTCAGATTTGTGCAGGCACTTGACACTAAATTATTTTTTTGCTTTCTCTCTTTCCAGAGAAATCTTTTTTAGTGATATAATGGCTTTTTTTTTTAAGTTTGAGCTTGCAGAAATGATGCTTCTCTCTGCCGATGATGACTAGAATTACAACTATTGATCAAATGTTCAATTCACTTTAGCAAGCGAGCAATCAAAGTGCTCCATTGTGAGCACCTCTCCTCTGCTCTTGTGAGAGCATGTCAGCGGTGCTGCAGATGTGCCGTCCACTTCTGAGAAACGGAGACCGACTGAAGCTTCGGTTCGAGTCAATTAACTCAATCACTGCTGTCTGGCTCTGGTTCAAAGTGGACAGAAGAGAGGCTGTCTCTCAGAAGAACTCAGTGCATCCAGGGATTAAATTTGGAATTTCTTTTTCTTTTTTCGTCTTCTTGTGTTTGTTGAAGCTTGCCTTTGCCCACCCATGATCTTCTCTTTTTGTATTCATGTGCTCAGCTCTAGCCAAGCTGCCGATGACCTCCAGCAGTAGAGCTCCCCTATAGATCTTTTAGTTTGCTCTGTTTGAAGGAGTTGGAGTTAAATTCACTTTGCAGCACCTATCAGTTCAAAGGTTACTTAGAAACCATGCTCTCTGCAAGGCTAGAAACCCACACTCTTTGCATCTTATACCTCCACATGTAAAGTGCAACTTATAGTGAAGACTGACCTTTCCAATATAAAGTGGTTCCAGTCCAGTATACTCCTCCAGGACAAAGAACTGATTCCACACCCAGCTTCGCTTTGCCCGTTGCAGCAGTGCTGAGCTCCCTACATGTTCCTCCTCTGCCGGCGTACCCAGAAGGCTATGAGGCAGAAGGGTCAAAATGCCAAGAGCCACGGGGAGCAAGGTCCACGCAACTGCTGGAAGATGCACTCGGTCTCCCATCGTGAAACACGGAGTAGTATTTGAAAAGACTTTTCCCTTTTTCTTGACAAGTGGAGCTATTTCCTGGGTCTCGTCTTTGTGGCTGCTGGAAGAGAAAAAAGGAAGAGCACAGATGAGTCTCAGATTCTGGACACATTCATTTCTGTTAATATGTGTCATCCACAGGTCTCCAACAGTGCCACGGGATACAACAAGGACATTTCCACTGACTCCAGATTATTTCTCTACTACTGAGCTTTTGTAGATTTATGATGTATGAGCTGTGTATCTGTGTGAGCCTTATAACGGCTGAATGAGAGGGTTCCTCTTGTACTGGCGATGTGGAGTTGAAAAGAAATGAGGAGAATGGGTACATGTTCTTCAGATTTTTTTTGTTGCTTTTAGGTAAACCAAAAAAACATTGTGCTGTATTTTTTCTTTTTAAAAGTTATAAAATGAAAACAAAAAGACTGTTGATGTCACAGGTATGTGTAACTATAACATCTCTAGTGAGGATTGCCTTAGAATGAAGATGACCTTTTGTGGTTTTTATGGGTCATTTAAGTACATCAAATCAGTCCGTAGGTGTACAAAATTCAGGAACTGAACAGACTAATGTAACTTCCAAACCACTGTTTGTCATTTCTACTTGAATGTATTATATAAAGTAGGGAGCATCAGAAGCACTGGCAGGTGCATTTTTAAATTTTAATAGTAAGGCAACCAGTACCAAGCTAGGCCAACAGCCAACCAGCTTTAATAGTCATGACAACAAGATGAAATCACTAAAACTGTAGTTCCTCTTATGGCCACTTGAGGCTGGCAGCAAAAATTAGTCAGCCTAATTTATCAGCTTCCTCCACAAAGCAACCTCCATAAACGTTTCATTTCAGTTAATGCACAGACCTCTTGGATGGTCTGCACGACACAGCAAGCCGCAATATTAGTCACATAAAATGGTCGAAAAGGCACCAACAGCACAAACACACCGTGGAGAAGTCCAGTACAATATTAGTGGATGGGCCCAAGCAGATGCCAGGATTCCTGTCAGTAACAGCAGCTACACTCATGCAGGTGGATGAGTGAGAAAAAGTTTCACCCTACTCATGCTATTCAGAAGTTTAGTTTACTTTGCAGTTGGGCAAACACTAGAACTGCAGTTTCTGTCACTGGCTTCATTTTCCACTTCATTGTTATTGTAATTATTGAACAAAGACTACTGCTTTCTATCGTTAACTTAATCTGTGCTTCAATTAATACTGATTAGCACTCTTAGCTACACAGCATCCAACTAAGGAAAAGGACTCAGGAACTGCACGGTTAATCCATTTATCTGTCCATCAATCGTACTTCTTTATTTTTGTTTCTTAGCAGCAATTAGCAGGTATCTGTGTTTGTGTGATACAGTAGCTGTAGCACTCCACCCTCTCTTACAAACAAGGTTATTTTTGGCTACAAAAACCCAAGATGGAGTCACCTAAAAAGCTAATTTGTTGCTAATGGTGGCTAATTCCATCTTTTATATGCAGGCATTTCATCTTTTATCTCATATTATATAGTCATACAAAAGCCTGCACATTTCATATTACATTGCCCAAACTTCCCCTAAAAATGTTAAAGCAATGTAAAGTTTTGGAGCCTGGAGGAGATAACAGAAATAATGAAGCACCAGCTCCAGCTTCTTTCCCTCCAGCTCGGGACACAAAACATCAGCAAGTGTAAGCACACTCTTTCTCTTCCTTCCTCCTCTTCCTGTCATGAGGAGAGGTGAGCTCCTTCACACCTCCTGTAAAAGACCCGGGGGTGTGATGTTCTGAGATTGTAGTGTTTCTGTTAACACCCCTGCTCAGCTCTACTCACACCGTGTTCAACAAGCTCCCTTCAGCGCTGCACACCGTTCATTACAAGTGTGCTGTGTACGTTTTTTTTTCTTCTGCCTTCCATATCGCAGGTTTTGAATGCCCCTATGGTGCTGCCTGGTTGCAGGATTTCATGCCTCTAAATACCATCTTCCTCCATGTTGCTCTTTTTGATACGAGCATCACAGGAATCCTTAAGATCAGCGAGGTCACGTCTGTGAATTTTTGCAGGAGATGCTTTTTAAGGTATTGATCTGAGTGAATCAATACCTTTTCACATGCAGCGCATGGCACCTACGCTGCCTCTTCCCATCTGCATCCTGGTTTTATGTATTAGGAGGACGGCTGCATCTGCCCGCATCTTCCTGCATTAATGAGCTCAGGGGAAAATAGGCAGATTTAAGGTCTGAAAGTAGAAAAAGGGAGCGAGGAGGGGAGGGGATAAAAGGAAAAGAAAAGCAAGAAGAGAGGAGGATGTTAGCAGAAAGTTTGCAGCAACGGAAGAAAGAGAGACTGTTTGACTCATTGGTTGACTCCATTATGTTTTGTAAGAGAGAGTGCATTGTGCTGCCGTGGAGTCCCTGAATCGCCAAACTCAGTTAATCATTGTTGAAGAGGCACAAAAGGCAGGGAAGGGTGGGAGGCGTGGCTGCATTGTCAGCGGGAGGCTGAGCTGTGCGTGTGTGTGTGTGTGTGTGTGTTAAGACAATCCCCGCGAGGGCCGCTTGGCAGGACGACTGACACTTGACCTCGCTGCTCCTCTCTTTTCTGCCTATTCAAGCCGACTGGTTGCCATTATGAAGTCAAATTAGCTCCCAGACCTTCCTCCCCTTTCGGCTCCTCCCCTCAAAGGTCGCAGCTTGCACCCGGGCATTTTGCTCCATTTTGTCGTGCCTAATGAGGTGACATGCTACGCAATTGTGCTGGCAAAACATTCTTCACATCTCTGTTCTGTTAATCTTATGGCATTTCGCCTGTTTAAGCAAAACGGCAGCTGGTGTGAACAGCGGATAGAAGGGGATGGGAAGATGAAGGGTTGAGGGGATGAGGAGCTAGGCGGAGGGCGGCAGAGCAATCATATGAAAAAGCTTTGCAAGACTTAAGGCAAAGAGGTATTTTCCCACCGGGCTGAAGCATTCCTCCAAGTGGAAAAATCTGCCTTTGTATTCAAAAGAAAAATAACAAATCAAAATAGAAAAGAAGCTACAGAAACATCCAATTTGTCCAGTGTTTGTCTTAAAATGAAAGAAAGCATTGGAAGGAAGGGTTGGAGGAAGAAAATGAGTGACAGTGATTGTCAGAGGGAGCAGCTGGTGTGAGAAAATGATAGACCATATTGTCGTATCATCGTACTCAGAGTCCACCTGCTGCTCCATTAGCTGCGATCTGACAACAACAGACTATATCAAACTGTTCCTGCGTGAGGGAGTGAGGTGAGTGATTTCTTCCAATGGAGGAAAACAAACTGCTGCGGTACGACTGACAGACAGAATCTGTACCTCCACCTGTTCATACTGAGTCACTGCTGCTTGAATACACTCAGAAAGCACCTCCATCCAGGTGAACTAACTGGTGGAACTTGTGCTCATAGGAGTGGGTGTTAAACCCGACTGAGCCATCATAAAGTTAAGAAGTCCCGAAAGTTAGTTACGAGAGGCTTTTGGAGACACTTTTAGGGTCATTTTGGGTACTTGTGCAAAGGTTTCAGTGTCAGCAGGCAGAAAACACCTGAAATACAGTGCATGTAAATTTGTACCAGATAAATCTGAGAGGTAAGAAGAGATATGGAGGAACTGCACTAGCTGTAATTGAAAACTAGTCTAATCACAGACTTACTGTGAAGGAATGCTTCTGAGGCCTGACCATTGAACTGCTAGCTTCCATCAATGCTGTTTCAATCCGGTTTGAATCAACACACTTTTCAGAGGGACAGCTTAGGTTGAGCTGTTTGAAGGCAGAGTTAGAGAGGCAAGGCTGAGATGGTTTGGTTATGTCCAGAGAAGGGATAGTGGATTTATTACACAAAGGAAGTTAAAGATGGAGCTGCCATGGAGCAGGAAAAGAGGAAGACCCCAGAGAAAATTAACAGAAGCAGGTGAAGAGGACATAGCTTTATTTCCCAAGTTAAGTTCTTTCTAGTCAAAAGTCTTTTAGGATTCCACAAGAAATCTTTAATAGAAGAATTTATTTGATTCCTCAGAGTTTTACCTTACAGGCCGTGTCCATATGTATTTGGTATTTTGCTAAACCATAGTCTTTTCCATGTTTTGTCCTTTCGTCCGCATGTAAGCCGCCTTTTAGGTCACTGAGAACTCTGTGAAGTTTCAGTAACGAAGCTGAAACTGAAGGTTGTCTCGCTGCCTCAAACGCGTGCGTCTTTAACTCCTTTCATGATGTCAGACTTCATAGGGTTATTATTTGCAGGTTTCTGATTGTTCAACATTTCTATACACCTGTTGCTTTGGCATCCTCTTGACATTCGTTTTTATTTTCCTGTGCACAGAGGTTTCTCAAAATGAATGAATAGGATTAAATAAGTTACATTTGTACTTCATGCTACTCTTTTACGAGCATATAAACTGAATGGTACACTGCTGTTGGAGGTAACTCAGTGTCCTTTTTCTTTCTTTCTTTTTTTACCAGTTAACAATCAGTTAAACGATCTAGGTGGAAAAAACTTTGTCTAAAAACTACCTCTGCACTTCTGCATATAGACTAAAAGCTTCTTTATTTCAGTGAACAGACTCTAAACAATACATATTTATTGTAAATGGCCACTCTTTGCCCATCTGCAGTACCTTCACAGTACTCCAGGGGGCCGTGGCCCACCCTCTGGAAATCACAGCAGTGAAAAGTTTACAGAACAAAAATCAAGCATCTGCATAGCTTTTCTGACACGGATACTGTGCATGACAAAATTTGCGCTAGAGGCTTGCAGATGCTGAGCCCAGAGCAACCATACCAAATTGCATGCTTCATTACCTACAAGTAGTTTCAGGAATTACAGACTGCACATTACATGTGTTGTTTCGTGTTGTTTTGTATTAAATGTTCATCTATATTGATATATAGAATAATATAGTGTTCAGAGAGACACAACAAGCTGCAAAAGCTTATAAAAGGTAGTACCGAGCGTGACGGTCACAGTCAAATGTTTGCAAAAGTTTCTTCTGGCAAGTACACAACACACTGTGTTCACTTTGACTCAACCCTGTCAAAATAGAACATACTACACAACTAAGTACAA